TTATATCTATGGACGACGCAAATTTAAAACAAACAGAAATAATAGAAATCTATAGTATTCACTCCTTCAGTGGGGCCATTCAACATGGCGGCCGTCAGCTCACTGCAGCTCACTTCCGGCTTCACTTCTGAACACCGGATGCTCTATCCAGTCTTAGTGTATATCAGTGGGCCAGACCCCTCGTCGCGCTCGGTCGAACGCGCTTAAGAAGGGCTCTGGGTACGAGAATGAGTGCCCTGCATGGAACTAAACCATGATATTGTATCCTACCGTTGGTTTTCTCTTTTCTGGCTGTATACCAATGATTCGCCCGCTTTTCTTTTCATTCTGATAGTATTTTAAGCGCAAAATAATATATTTTGAAGATTTTAAAGCGAAATATTAATCCTACCGTATCGACCAACTTGCGCCCGGGTGACAGGAGGAATGTAACGTCGAAAACTAAGCTTTACTTGAAGGCAGAAAGTTTTACTTAGTACCGCATAGAATCTGCATCATGGTTTGCATTGCTGAGCTAGTTAAATTTGTCTATAGAGACATGCCATTGTGATTTATACCTGCAGTCTCAAAAGATCGCCTTGTTTGGCTTGTTTTAGTTCAATCTTGAATTTCAATATGACATTATTATTCGCAGTTTTTTCGTATATATTCCTAAATAAAGTATTTTATTTATTTTGCTTTAGATGCTAGCACAATAATTATAAAAGTTAATGGACAGTTCATGCAATCTATTCTAATATTCTGGCCCAGACGAAGGGCCTTCGCTCGAAATGTCGAAATCTCTCCTTATATTTTTCAGGTAGTTGCATTCCTAGCAACGAAGCCTGTTCATATTATTGGCACTGCCAACGCTTGCACAGATAGTTCAAGATTATATATTTGAGTATACCCAGTCCTAGGCTGCAGTATATAGCCGAAAGCTTAAATTTCTGCAAATAAATATCAGTTACATATCAGTACTGTGAAACAATAAATACGTTTCACTGGCTGCATATCATCTATACACCCTTTCACTTTTATTGTACTTATAAGTGAAACACAAATGATGATGAAACAGTTGAATATTTTGATAAAGATATATATTTTAATGATTCCTTTCATTTTACATCTACATGTTATGATTAGACTGCAATTTAGTGTTATGATTAGACTGCAATTGGATGCGCAGTCGAAAAGTGGTGTATATAAAGTAAACAAACATTGGTGGGAAGTTCTTATCAGTGCACTCTGATCTTCTAAGAAATTAGTGCTGCTTTGCCTGGTGAGCAGAAAAAGATAGTCGGACTTATTGTTTGCCAAGGTAGTAGTTAAATATTATAAGAAGAATAAAATTAGACTTACTGAAGTTGACTAATGGTGACTTAGCTTATAGATAATCTTTGAAGATTCTGCACAGAATTGATGCAGACGGTTTCAGATGTGCTTTCGCTTTGAGACAGCACTTTATATTAATTAGTCATGTTATGTATTCTGTTAAAAACAGGTTTGACTACCTCGCGGGCGTTCGTTTCGGATTATGTCAATAAACGTGGCATCCAGCGTCGTACTCTTTTGATAAATCGGCGTTTATGGATATCCATATAATGAACGAATTTGTGTATTTTAATATTTTAATTAACCAGTGATATTGTTTTGACACATTTGCATGTTTTAGAATTCCATGTATCAGTCTAAAATCAGTGCCGTAGCAATCTCGATAATGGGGGGGGGCTCATATTCATATATTCGTGTTCTGCGTTATTAATTTCTTTTGAAATCGATTGTTTTTATGGTCTGTGAACACGAATATATGAATAATAGCCCCCCCCCCCC